CTCACTTCAGCCTGGTTGTTGGAGGCCTAAGACTGTAACCAGTGTCTCCCCTAAGAAGGATGGGGACAGACTAGTCCAAGAAGGAAGATCTTTGTCCATGAGCCCAACCAGAGCCAAAGGACAGCAACTGGGATGTCCTTTAGAAAAGGTGAGGCCTAGCTTTTAGGAACTTGGGCCGGCCTAATTAAATTCAAGGATTAGATGCCTCTCACTAGCTGTGTTACTTCAAACAAATCACATGACTTCCTTAAGCCTCAATTTCCACATTACATCAAGAAAGTGAGGATATGGGGCCTCATGTGGGCACCTGCCTTTAATCCCAGTACTCAGGGGGCAGAGGCTGTGAGTTTGAGGCCAGCCTGGTCTACATAGTGAGTTCCAGGACAACCAGAGCTACATAGTGAGACCCTGTCTCACAAAATAAAAACAAAAACAAAAATAGAAAGTGGAGATAACAGTATTAGCCTCATGATACTAGTGTATGTACTGAACAATGAATAGTGCACCTGCATATTCCTATTTTGTACCACTCTGCCACCTCCATTTCATTTACTTCAAGGTCTATCTTCCCCTGGCCCCTAATAAATATAGTGAGCATGAACAATGTTAAAAAGATTTCAAGATCTGGCATTACCACTCACTAGTTACTTGACTTCAGGTAAGTTACATATACACTGCCTTCCTTATAAATGGGAATAGTGGCCTATTAATAGAAGTGGTCTAATAGGACATTTAGAGAACTAAACACAATAACACATACTAAATTTTTGGCATACAATGTCAGTAAGTTACAGTTCTTTGACCTTTTTATGATGTCCAGAGTACTCCGTTCAAGAATAGTCACAGAAGCCATGTTAAGATATGCTTGTCTGTAGACAGACATTCTCACCTGCCATAGCCTAGAATCAAGCTGATCCTCAAAATACCTAGGAGATGTTGGGTTTCAAGGGTCGATTGAGGGTGCCAACTCTGATTACCACGGAGGCTGGTGATGGAGATAAGGTCCCTCTAAGGAGTCTAGAGCCGCTAGGGAAGCCCTGAGCTCTGTCCAGTTTGTAGATTTTCAGCCCTAGGCACAAGACTCCTTCCTGTCTGCTAGAAGCTAGATGACAGGGTTCGTCTGGTCAGCTACTGTCCAATTCAAGGTGACAGGCACATTTTTCTTCTTTCCATCAGAGGAAGCAGCTCCTGGCACTGGCACATACCAGCTAAACTACCTCCCTTCTCACTTACAGACTCCATATCTCATTAACACTACCTAAGACACTCTAGGCAGGTTCTGACCAGCTGCCCACAGACCCTCACCATTCTCTTTCCCACCTGCCCTCAACCCCTTTGGCCATGTGGGTCAACATATGGCAAAGGCCCCAGTTCCTGCTGGTAACCTTCCAACTTCTCACTCACTCTCTAAACATCCCACTCAGACTTTTCACAGGAGTGGAGGCCATATTTGGACCACAGAACCCAAGGACATTGAATTACAAGACAGGGGGTGGGGGAAGCACACTGATAGACCCATAGTCCCATTATTCCAGCAGGGCCCGACACCTTCCTCCCTCCCAATTCAGGAAATTCAGGATGAGGTATGAGGTTTCCAAGCTGGGAAAAAAGTGGTTCTCCCAGCTCTCTCTCAAAATAGAACCTACCTTCACTTCTCACACAACAGTGGCCACATTACATTATTATTTAGCCAAGAACACAATCAACTGGGAAGGAACTGCCTCCCCTCTGGACTTAGCCAAGACTCCTCCTCCAGGAAGTACTTAAATAAGTGGAATTCTATAGTACTTGATATGTAGGCTTCACCTTTTCCTATAACTTCATAGTGACCAATATAGCATTTGTATACCATTACCTCTGGGACCTGCTAGGGATAGCGTCAGAAAGCCAGAATGAGCCCAAAGCAATGGCCCTCACAAAGGCACAGCCAACTTGATTGTGGGAACTGGCAAGGCAATTTCCTGACTTTGAATACTAAAGAAATCTCACCACCAGTTCAACCTAAGTGCAGGGGTCTGGAGAAAAATCGAACAGATTTAACTTTTAAACAAAAACCAGTAACCACCCTCTTGTCAACCTGACCCCTAAAATGGAGAAAGCATCAATCCTATAAACTCCAAATGACAATCCTAAAAACCATTGCTGTGTGTCAAGACGCTTAAGAGAGGATGAGGTCAGCAATGGAGTTTCTCCTGTTAACCCTGAACCTTCCTGATGCTATGACCCTTTAATCCAGTTCCTCATGTTGTGGTGACCCCAACTATAAAATCATTTACGTTGCTACTTTATAGCTGTAATTTTGCTACTTTTATGAATCATAACATAAATATCTGATATGCAGGATATCTGATATGTGATCCCTGTGAAAGGATCGTTCCACCCCAGAGGGATCATGACCCACAGGTTAAGAACCATTGCCCTAGCACATACCACACAATACTCAGAAATTACTTTTTAAATGTGAGAACAAATCAAAGGCTTATTTCATTCAAATGCCATTTGTAGTAATCCAAACTCTTTCTGTTAATACCCACTTAACACAGAGGGAGTGGGTTATACTATAAAACTCTCTGGATTTTGAAAGTAGCGCATCTTCCTTTTGTTCTTGGCTTTACTGGTAACTCTTTCTGGGACTTTGCGTAAGTCTTTGTACTTAATCTGGAGAGAGAAAGATCACGAATATGAGAGCACAAGCAAGTAGCATGGCCCATGTCATCAATAGGCTCCTCTCAGCTATGTTGTTCAACAGAGCCTGCATTTTATGAAAAATAATCATCATGTGTCTTATTTGAACACAAAACTCTAACTCTTTCATCCAAGTTGGAATAGACAAATCACTAGTGATAGACAGACAAATAGATGGGCAGTAGCTCTCAGAAAAGACTGGGAAGATGGGCATCAAACAGTGGGGGCTAGATCAAAAGCATACCTTTTGTAGAGGACCTGAGTTCAGCTCCCAGCACCCATATTGGTTGGCTCACAACTCTCTGTAACTCCAAATCCAAGAGATCTGACACCTTCTTCTGACCTCTGCAGGCATTGTACATATGTGGGACATACTCATAAGCAAACATACATATATATGCATAATTAAAATATAAAAATAAGTATAAAAAAAGAAAGCAAAGGAACATGGAATGTCAAGGAGGTAACTCTAGCCTGTATTCTGGAATTGTAAAACCATTTCTAAAAATCAAGGGTCCTATCATTTCCAGACCCATGAGGGAGTGGGAGCCCCAACCTCTGATTTATTTATCAGAAAATGACCTAGTACCAAAAGAACATGGACCACGAACAGATAATTCACAGAAGAACTACAAATGTCCATAAATATAGAGTAGATAAAAATTGCAGAAAATGTTTAATCTCACTATTAACCAAGAAAGCATATGACACTGAGATTTACACTCTCAAATTACTGTACTGACTGTTTGAATGACATGGGTTGAAGTAAGCTTTCTGATACACTGCTAGCACCCTTTCCATGTAACAATTTGGCCAAGAGCTTGTAAAAGAGCATTTTCTGTGACTCAATAGTTCTGCTTCTAAAAATATATGGGCATATCTGTGATTACAGCCTTATATATTTCTAGAAACAGAACTTTTGAGTCACAGAGTGCTCTTTCACAACCCACAGCATTCAAATATTCCGTGCACTGGATTATGGAATATTGACACACAAAAGACTGTATTTAGTATGCATAGTACAGATAGATGCAGGATGTTCTTGTTTTGAGATAGGGTCTCACTGTGTAGCCCTGGTTGGCCTAGAACTCACTCTGTAGACCAGGCTGGCCTCAGACTCACAGAGATTCACCTGCCTCCGCCTCCGGAGTGCTGAAGTTAATGCACCACCACACCAGGCACAGATGAAGTTTTTAAGAATATCTTAAATCTAAGGTTATTTTTATCTGTGTATATGGAACACAAGAAAAAAGAGCCTACTTACTAGCTATACTATAAAGGGAAAAACTAAAAGAAAGTAATTTATAAGATAATGCATGTTAATAGAAATACTTGGGAATGTTTATGCTAAGATATATAATAAAGTACAAGATCTATCCTACTATCTGTAGAATCACGGTTGAATGCCATATAAACATACGCTCACACAGGCAAGTTTTGCTGGCAACTTCAATACCCAAGAATGGCACTACAGACAAGAAAAGCTCATAGTAAGTTTTCAAACAAAGAAAGTACCAACTTTCCGCAATCTCCATAGTTGCTGCATTCCTGGAAACTCCATCCATTTATATTCACACTATAAGATCATTTTGTATTTATTTATGAAATTATTAGGACCGGTGATACCATTTTTCACCTGTATTCATGTTCTATAGGACATTTGAATGTTCTTAAGATGTATGTGTATATTTCTTATTCCCCTTTCATATTTACCCAAAACACGCAATTCACCAACACTCTTTCTTGTGTGTTGGGCTTGCATCCTTTAGAATTAATGATATTCAGAGTTTGAGCCTTTGAGGCTATTTTTAAAACCTATCGCCTGAGAACAGCAAGAGATTCCTAGAATGTATTCTCAAAAGTAACACAAATGCCTTTTGAATTACTGGGAACGTGATTCTTCTTTAGTAGCACCATAAGAAAAGAAATTATTATCTTAGGGGAAAAAAAGCTATTTACCATGATCTCTTGGTGATTTTCTAGCCTGGCCCCAGCCTCAAGAGTATAAAATGAACTGAGTTGGAAGAAAGGACTAACAGGGCCAGGCTACAGGGAGTGAGAAGGAAGCTAAGTTGCTAGGTTACCACTTGACCAATCTAAGTGGTCCCAGAGGGGTACCAGATACCGGACAGACAGGCATCTCGCTCTCTCTCTCTCTCTCTCTCTCTCTCTCCCTCCCTCCCTCCCTCCCTCCCTCCCTTCCTCCCTCCCTCCCACTAAGTTGAGGGCTCTCTCAAAGGAAAAGGGGAGGTTTCAAAGGTGAGGGAGGGGCCCAATCACTCATACTAGGCACAAGTAAAGAAATGAGGCAGAAGCACAAAGAAACAGACAGCCCTATATTTCTAAAACCATTCAAGTCTCCTTCATTAATTGGCTTCCCCCCAAAAGAAAGATTTCTTTATTAAGAAATACCAGAGAGTGAAAAACCCCAACACATACACATTTGTAGGCTCACACAAAAGTGCAGAGATTTACATATTAAATTGCATTTAAGTTAGAAAATAGATTTAAAAACAAAATATTTTTCCCCAAACAAGGTAAAGAGATTTGGTCAGTAGGAAAAGGGGCCTTAGGGGTAAGGGCAGGATGGTCAGGATGGGAAGAATGGAGTTTAGCTGCTACAGAATTAGAACCCACCTCTAATCCAACCCCACTCCTGGGGAAAAATGGAAAAGGAACAATAATGATCTCAGCTAGGGCCAAGAGGTCCCCAGAGCCAAAAGGACATAAATTTCCCCTTCCCTCAGAGGTCTTGGATCAACGCCAACCATCCTGGCCTGGGGAAGTGGGGTGGGTGCATAAGAAGTGTAAGGAATGGAGAGGAAGGGGAGAGTTGGAGAGAGTGTCAGCCATTGAAAACATCAAACAATATAAGTCCTCTTTCCCCAGAGAAAGATCAAGTCTTCAATCTCTCCTCTGATCAAAGCTCAGACTAGGGACAGTCCCAGCTGGTATAAGGTATGAATGGGACAGGTCTTCAGGCCAAGGTCTTAAGTACAGAAGACTTATAAAAAAGAGAGAGAAAGAGGGCAAGGGGTGTGAGGGAGCAGATTTAAACAAACAAACAAACAACAACAATGAAACAAAGAAAACCATTTTGTACTGGAGATAAGAGATTTCCATTTTGATCCTTCCCACCAGAAAGAGAACACTCTTCTGACTGACCTAAGGGGCAGCAGAAGAGTAGCTGAGGTAAGTTGAGGGAGGAAAGAAACTCATTCTGGCCCAAGAGTGGAGATGGGCTGAGTAGCTACTAGCAAGGGAGTCCCATGAGGGACAGGTTGATTGGAAAAAAACACTAACCAAAAAAAAAAAAAAAAGTGGAACTTCCACACTCTCCATGATTACCATAGTTTTGAACTAACTGAAACCAAACTGTAAGAACAAAACTGAGAGAGCCATTTAAAAAGTGGGAAAGGAGAAGCAGAGAGAAGAGGAATCTGAGTCCATCTCTCTGCCAATAACTCTCTCCCCAGGGATATTAATTTCAAATCCTGCAACAACCAACACAGAAAGACACAGAGAAACCTGGGAGCAGCCACATTTCACTAATTACAATTACCTGGAAAGAGTGAGATAGGAGTCTTGATTATAGACCATTTGAAAAGAAATGCATGCCATCACTTGTGAAAGATCACTAATGAAATATTTCCAAGGGGAGGCCCTGGTCAGCCTGCGGCAAAAACCAAGACTCACTTGCAGATAACAGTGTCCATCTACTTAAAACAATATCCCCATGAAGAACATGTTCTCTTAGTAAGTGTAATCCCTCTACTCTCCCAGTCTTGTTCACACTGTATATTGCTTGGAAGTCCTGTCTTCATAGTCCAGAATAAGATAAACTTCAGCCCAGAATTAAATGGATCAACGGAGAGGTTGAATTTGAGAGGTATCTATCTCTTCAACCCAAGGGTACCCTGGAAAATGGAAGTATGGGTAGTAACAAGCAACCCCTTCTACCCCCCACCCACCCCCTGACCCAACACACAAACACATTCACAACCCCATGGTGGTTCTTGAAATGGAAGGGGAAGGAGGAGGCAGGCAGCTTGCATTAGACACAGTTTAATCGCCTTCAAATAGATTAAAAGTTGTGGTTCACACCCCTCCCTGTCCCCATAAGTCGTCCAGACAAGACCCTGGCTTAGAAAGAGAAAAACACAGGTGCTCTAGGAAATATAGCCACATATAATACATAGATCTTCTTCCCTGAAATAGTGCAGGTCCTGAGCAGAGCTGCCTGGGGGGTCACAGTCCACCCCCAGGATGAAGTGGCTCCGGGACTCTGCCGGTGGAAGTGCTGGAAGAGCAGGGCTCGGACGAAGCCCTGGTGTGGTTACCATTGCCAGAGGTGGGCTGAGGCCTTGGAGTGGAATACCCGGGAGGGCAGCAGTGCTGGGCTTTCCCTCACTCAGCCAAGGCTTAATGGAAGTACTGTTTAGCCTTTTTGTTTTGCTTTTTTTTCTCTTTTTTTTTTGAGGGGATGAAGAGGGAGAGGAGAGGAGAGGAGAGCCTCTCTGTGCCTTGGCTTCCCCATTTGTGCATTCAGGGCCTCTGCAGGCCTTACACAAGAAGTCTGAGGGGTAGTGTTTTAAGTGAGCACTCAGGCTTCCTCTGAGGAAAAGGAACCACCAAAGTGCAGACTTTTATTACTGCCATTCCCGCTCCCAATGGAAGCAGGAGTCAAAGGAAGAAAATTAAAATGGGCTCATGAGAAAAGAGGGGAGATGAGACAGAGAGTGTGAGGGGCTATGCTGTTGGCATCTCATCAATGCTTATTGGGAATAGCACAGGCATTGAAGTTTCCGGAGAGTCTATGAGAAATGTCAATTGTTATCTCTACTATGACTACTTACATATGTCACCTAATGGGGAGAGCGGATCTTGGATGTTAGAGAGTGGATGGGGGTGGGGTGGGAGGAGAAGCTACACAAATAAATACAAGTGGAAGGTACCTGCCCTATTCCTAAAAGGATTGGCTGGCAATGCTGGCACTTTGTAGCCAGGAAAATCCTCCAACCTCACTCTCCAGTCCTCATTAGTTCTGAAGGAGTCAAGAGCCTAGTTAGGATTCCCTGGCCAGAGGTCTCTGTGACTGCCTCTGGACTCAGGACATGCAGCAGCTGGAAAGGACTTGAGTCAGTCTTGAGAATCTTTACCCAAGAATGAGACCAATGACCCCCAGCAGGAGAGCTAGGATCTGGAGGGAAGAGAAGGGGAGTCCAAGGACACCTTGTGGCTGAGACAATGGAAAACAAATGCCATGTCCCAAGAGACCCATTTGTCCAGTTGCCAGAGGTAACTGGCATCTTCTGCCACTGTCATAAGTCCATAAATTTTAAAAAAAGTTTCCAGCAAGAAAACGCCAGTGTGCAATTCGGTGACTAAAGACCAAAGGAAAATAGTAATAAGGACAGCTTATTTGTTCTCTGTCTCAGGTTGATCTTTCCCCTGAAATCTCCCATAGCCCTAATGAAACACAAATAAAAGTCTCTTCCATAGACAGGCTACTTCTCAGCTTCAGTTGCCTCCTGTGGTGGCTCTGGGGGCTCTGGAGGTGGCATCTCTTCCGGGGTGCTGCTGTCCTCTGGCATCTCATTAGAATTTATATGTTCTGTTGAGGCCTGAGAAGTAAAAGATACCAGATTCAACACAAAGCTCTCTCAAATCTAAATGCAGATAATTCAAAGGCATTGAATTCTTCCTCAGAAACCTGTGACGACAGTGACACTAAAGCTATGCATCCATGGTCACCAAACTCAGCCCAAGACCATCTCCTCAGCAGAATGCACCTGCAGCTTATTACAGGTCTATCCTTAACTGTTATGGACAGATGTTTCCACTATTATAAATGCTGATAATAGTATATGCCATAAATAATTATGTGCAAGCACACCCACCACAATATAATATTACACTGTGCTTGTCTAACAGGGTCTGACCCAACAGTTTTGAACCCTGTTTCTGTCCTAACAGAGAATGTATTATAATAGTAAGTTGAAACCTATTAAAGTGGTTTCAACTGATCATATGACTTAAAACATCTCCTAAGCGACTCTAAAATAATCCTCTCCTATATTCAACTGAGAACCACTAACCTACACATTGTTATTATTTGGGGCCAGACTCATCAGAAAAATGATATTCAAGATGATAACAATGACTTGTAAACAAAGTTTAAATCTAAAAATCTATTAGAATGAAAACATGTTTGCTTAGATTTCAGAATATTAGACTGATATACAAAGAATGTTTCTCTACACCCTACTGAGCAACGCAAAAATAAAATTAGGAAATCAACTTCATTTACATTAATGTCAAAAAGAACAAAATATTTATGTAACAAGAGATTCATTTAAAACTATAGCATCAAAGAAAACCAAAATGAACAAAAAGACAGCCCATGCTTCTTGGTAAGGATTCCCTTCCTACCTGGCAGAGAGCTACTGTCCCACTATATCATGACACGGCAGCAGGAATAACAGTCAAGGAGACAGAACTGTTCTCTCTCTCTCTCTCTCTCTCTCTCTCTCTCTCTCTCTCTCTCTCTCTCTCTCTCTCTCTCTCTCTCTCTCAATCTCTCCCCTCTGTGTGCATATGTGCATCTGGGTGTGCATGTGGGGCAAGTACCCTACCACTGAGCTCCATCTCCAGCAAAAGATAGCCCTGTGAATGGCTCAGAAAACTTGTGTTACGGTGGTAATATTCCTCAAACTGATCTACAGAGTCAATGTAATCTCTATCAAAATTCCAGTTGTTTTCTTCACAGAAACTAATAAGCTTTAAGAGAATCCTAAGGTCCATTCAGGTTTCAAGGAACCAACAATAGCCAAAACAAACATGAAAAAGAATAAAGTTGAAGGAATAGTATTGCCTGTTTTAAAAACTTTTCAGTGCTAAAGCACCAGAGACAGTGTACTATAGGCCTAGGAACAGACATCTAGATCAACAGAGTTCAGAAATGAACTCACATCACACATCTCAGTCAAGTCATTTTCAGCAAGCGTGTCAAAATAATGGGGGAAAGGAAACAATCTTTCAACAAATGGTAGAAAGATAACTGGATATCCACAGACAAAAATAAATAAATAAAATGTGTACTCCCTACCTCTTCCCATGTATAAAAATTACCCTACAATGGATCAATGGATCAAAAATATAAATGTAAAAGTTCAAACTATATGATATGGTTGGGTAGTGATGGCACACACCTTTAATCCCAACACTCGGGAGGCAAAGCCAGGCGTATCTCTGTGAGTTCGAGGCCAGCCTGGTCTACAGAGCAAGATCCAGGACAGGCACCAAAACCACACAGAGAAACCCTGTCTTGAAAAAAAAACACAAAAAGTTCAAACTATAAAACTCTCAGAAGAAACAGAGGAATAAATCTTCACAACCATGGACTAGGTAACAGTTTCTTAGATATGGCACCAAAAACATGAGCAATAAAAGAAAAGAAAGAGAAAGTGATATATATTACGATTTAGAACTACAGAGATGGCTCAGTGGTCAAGAGCTTTCTATATATATAAATATGAAGACCCGAGTTTGATCCTTAGAACTCAGGGTGGGGGAAGCCAAGAATGGTGACATGCACCTCTGATCCCAGCACTGGGGAGGCAGAGACAGGAGGAACATGGGAGTTTGATGCAGGCCATCTAAAAAATCTAAAAACAAACAACAAAACCACAAGCCAAACATACGAACAAGCCATCAAAAAACAAAGCTGGAAAGCACTTAAGGAACAGTCTACCTACACACATGAAGTGGGGAGCTGGAGGGAGGGAGGGATGGAGGGAGGAAGCGAAGAGGGGGGAGAGAGAGAGAGAGCACGCACAAACAAAAGATTTGAATAAACATTCCCTTATGAAGATATACAAATGACTAATACCTATATGGAAAGATGTATGCATCATTAGTCATCAGGGAAATGCAAATGAAAGCCACAATGAGATAACACTTCACATCTACAGTGGCTAAAATAGAAATGATCAGATAACCTATCAGATAATGCTAGTGGAAATGAAAAATGGTGCAACCACTTTAGAAAGCATCTCAGCAGCATCCCAAAAGATGTAAATGTTTTATTTATATAATTGAGTTACCACTTCTCTCAGCAATTTCAGTCCTAGGAATACAGCCAAGAAATTTTAAAGCATATGTCCATGCAAAAACTTGCACAGAGATGTTCATAGCAGCATTGCTTATAATAACCAAAAGGTGGAACCAGGGCTAGTGAGATGACTTAGCAGGTAAGAGCACTTGCCAGGTAAGCCTGATGACCTAAGTTTGATCCCTGGGACCCACAGTGAGAAGAGAGAACTAACTCTAAAAGTTGTCACCTGACCTACACATACACACACTGTGGCACACACATGCCCACACTCACACACATGTACCACACACACACACACCACAGTGATGATAAATAACATTTTAAAAATAAAAAAAAAATGTGGAAACAGTGAATGGATAGATACAGTATGGTATAACCATGTGATGTGATATGAGTCATCCATATAAAGGAATGAAGTACAGCCACATGTAATACAGATGAGCATTAAAAATATCATGCCAAGGCCTGGGGAGCTCATTGGTAGAGTGCTTGACTAGCATGTATGAGGCCCTGGCTTTCATCCCCAGATCTCACTGCTAAGGTATACAAGGTTTCTTAAGGCAGAGGAGAAGGAAATGCTTTTCTAATTTGTGACAATCATACATGTTAGCATACTATACTAAGGAATTGTACATTTTAAATAGATATGTGCATTGTATCTCAATAAAGCTCTTAAAAATAAATTTCAAATAACTTTTTTTTTTTTTTTGGTTTTTCGAGACAGGGTTTCTCTGTGTAGCTTTGCGCCTTTCCTGGAACTCACTTGGTAGCCCACGCTGGCCTCGAACTCACAGAGATCCGCCTGGCTCTGCCTCCCGAGTGCTGGGATTAAAGGCATGCACCACCCCTGCCTGGCTCAATAAATCTTAATCTATGTCAAGGGCACAAAGATCTGGAGGGCACAAAGATCTGGAGGCACCATCAGGGCAAAGCAGAGACAGGGAATCTGGGGAGATTAAGGATACAAAAGCACACAGCTACATTTTGAAGTTGTAGAGGCAGCCTACACGGTTCCTATCACCGACACAGCGTAAGTCTGCAATACTCACTGGACTCTGTGGCAAGAGGCTACTGCTGGTCTCTTGAGTACTTGGAGGTCGACTTCCATTTTCTTCCAGTGGCAAAATACCCCTTCGATCCAGCACACTGACAGAGACAGGAGAATGAATCAAGGACTTGGCAATCACTCTTCTACCAGCTCACTCCCCACTGAACCTTGTTATGTACATTAGAAAGCACAAACATACCTTTGGCAATCTGTCCTGACCCTAGCACACATCTATCTTCCATTTACTCTTCCACAAACTAGAGGATGTCACATTAACCAGGGAACAAACAAATGAAATAACCAGCCCATGGTTTATGGCCCACGTAGATATGGTGCCATGTAACAATTCCCAGGAAGACCTATTTGATATCAAGAAGCTCCATTCAGAAGAATGCAGCAGAGCAGGCAAGAGGATGAGTTTGAGTAGTTCATCTTAGGAGCCCAGGGCATTTTTGTTACTTGAGTACCTGGGGGGCAAGGGGCCACAAAGCACTTCACAGCAGTTCTTCACAATGTTGCCATGACTGTAGGGATTCTGCACACGATTCTTCCCTGTCCATGATCCTTTGATCTGTAAGATAAAAGCCAGGGCTTACATTAAAAAGCTATGTTGGAGAAATACATGCAGCATGGGATGATGAAAACTGTTCAAGAGGTGGATAATGGCAATAACTGCACAAAAACATGAATGCACTAAATGTCACTGAACTGTTCATTTAGAAAAGTTTAACATGTTGGGCATAGTATATGTGCTGCCGAAGCAAGGAAGAGGGAGATCTGTGTTTGGTATGTAAAATGAATAAAAAATTTCTTAATAAAAGAAAAGATGTTGGGCATAATTTCACACACCCTGTAATCCCAGAACTTGGGAGGCCAAGGATGGAAGAGTCTGGGTGCTAGGCCAACCTAGTCTACATAGTAATCTCAAAATCCCACAAAAATAAATTAATAAAAAATTTTAAATTGTTAAAAATGGTATGTATGCTTTATGTTGTATGTATTTTTCCAAAATTAATGACAAAAATAGGGGCCAGGGAGATTGCTCAGTGGCTGAAGGCACTTGCCACCAAGCCTGATGGTCTGAGTCAGCAGGAATCACATGATAGAAGGAGAGAACCAAGTTTTCCTCTGAAATCACACAAGTGAAGTCATTCATGCACATACATACTAATTAATAAATTTCATTTAAAAAGAAATAGTTGGACATGAAGACTGTTCATAAGAGGAAGAAAAAGACAAATGAACATGTACTATTTTTATTTTAAAATACAGTGTATCTTCAAACTCACAGAGACTGTGACAGCACACACAAGACCTGTACAGGTTCAAACCAGACAAAATCCCAGCACAAAGAAGAGGAAATGGACATAAAGTCCTACCACTAACCAAGAAGTTATCTGCAATTGATACTTTCTGGGAAAGGAAGTCAGTTTTCTCCAGTGAGTGTCACTGCATATAACAACCATACTCCAAGGCAGGCTCCATGCCCAGGAGTAGATGGCCAACACAAAACAGACTTTTTGTTTTGTGCTCTTTGTTTTGTTTTACTTTGCTTTGGTATTTTTTGCCTTACTGTTTTTTTTTTAGTTTATTTAGAATTTTGCTTTGATATTTTTCTTTCTTTTTAAAAGAGAAAAAGAACATGAAGCCAGGTGGGTAGGGAGGTAGGGGAGATCTGGAAGGAGTTGAGGGAGGAGAAAGAATATGATCAAAATATATTGTATGAAAAATTTTATATAAAAATTAAATTTAAAAATACAGTGTATATGTAAACAAATAAGATCAAATCTAGACAAGTTTAGAAGACTATAAATCATACCATTAACAAAAGTGATATATAGAAGGTAATGTTACAGGGATTTCTTTATTTGTTCAACTATATATTTCTCTCTCATTATCCATAATGAATGTGAATTGGTAATTCATTAAAAGCAAATATTGATTTGGTGCAATTGCCCTTCTCTATTCCAAATTTAGAAGCATCAATAGCCTTTTTTATTGTTTGCTTGTTTGTAAGACAAGCTCTAGCTATGCAGCTCAAGCTAGTCTCTTTGTCGCGATGTAGCCCAGAGTAGCCTGCAACTTGAGATCTTTCTGTCTGAGTCTCTCTAGCAAGCATTGCGATTATAACAGTGCTCTATCACACTAGAACTTCAACTAGCCTTTAAGGACCTAAAAACATTTAAAAGATGTCATGCCTATCCAACTTTTCAACCTCTTCCTAATGTGCTATAGGCATTCGGCTCCAAAGCTGTCTGCCTGCTCTTCTACACCTTTATTTAACAATTTCCCAAGCCAGGTTTCTTTTCCACTTGTCTCAACCTTCTGGGTTCTGGAGACATGGCTTCCTAGCAGGGAACTAGAGAATGGGCATGGAGAGAAGAGTGATCTATAGCACGATGAGAAAGTTGACTCACGTCTTCATTGGTTGTCTGGTTGAGAGCCACCAGGAAAGTGTGAAATCCAGTCAGTCCCACAACAGACCAGAGTGTGAAGAAGCAAATGAGGACTTCCAGAACAGTGAGGTTAGGTTAAGGAATGTGAAGAACTCATAGTAGGGGACCTGATGCTTCCGCCCATATTTGTGATATCAGTTATATCATCTTTACCTCTTGGAACAAGAATCACGAAAAGCCAAATTATGTGTTTATAACCATAGATGAATTCTAACCTTCATTGGATAGGTCCTTTATGAAAGTTAATGCATTTTCTGTTTATTCACTATGAATAAATCTCTAGCATCTCTAGTGTGTAGCATTTGACTGTTTGTCATTGGCTCTTAGAAGAGGACATTTAGGAAGGTGCCAAAGCTAAACAACGTTAGCCACCACTGCTAATGAAAATCCCACAAAAAATACACTTTATAAATGAAAAATCAGTGGGATGGAAACAAGACGTGGTTTATCCAAATCTCTTCTAAATCTTCTCTTCAGAGATGCAGCCACTGCATAAAATAAGCCTTCACTGAAACAGGAGGGCAGGGCTCCCAGCAAATAGCACAAAAGTGTATTGAGATAGACTGTAGCCAACTAGAGGCATTAAGGCTGAGCCAAGCAAGAGGTGAGGGGCAAACGTCCCTTAAAGTCCTGACCATTTTCCATTCTAGTTGCTAACACGAGGACTACACATGTTAATTTTAGGCTTTGGCAGTCACTGGTGTCTGAAAAACTAGATAGCAGGAGAAGTGCAGGAAGAAAACAGGCTGGCAAGCAGTTTAAGGCAGCTTCACAGGGATAAACTGCCAGGGGAGGATATGTTCCAGGAGTTTCTTTCAATGTCTCCAGGAAGCCAATTTTCAAGGATTCTGTGGAATTGGGAAGAGGAACAGAAAGAAAAATTAGTGACTTTAGTCAAAACTATAAAAAGCCCCTTTAGTATCTCCTCACTTCCTCCTCTCCCTGTCCTGTCCTGTCCTCTGGCACAAGAGAAGGTCCCACTGGGGCAAGGTAGAGTTTCCCCTTCACCTGCAAGCTTGTGACCGAGTGCACATTGCCAACACTCTCCAGTGCAGGGCTAAGCACTGGAGCAGAGCTGGGAGAAACCAAGCATTAGGTTTCCTTTCCTTTTCCCAGTTGCCAAACATGGGCATGTAGTGTGCCACTCTCAGATGAAAGAAGCCAGAAGTCTTCTAGAGAAACCTTCTCCCCATGCCCCTCCCTTGTGTGCTAGCCAGCTTGGCGCTCCTCTCTGGTCAAGACCACTTGCTTAGCTCCACACTCTTCCTGTCCTTAGCTACGTTGCGTGTGTGCACATGCAAACATGTGGATGTGTATTTTGCATCTCTGGAGTATACCATGGTCCACTAACAGGTAAAAACCCTTCCACCACCCACCACAAAGGTATATCTTGCAAGACAGAATGAGAGGCTGTGTAGAGGCAAATACATACCCAACCTTTTTCATCACTTCAGAACCTCTCAGTACTCTGGATGTGGTTCAGGAATTAGGGCCCATTCTTACCAGCAGATGGCCAGAGAGAAGGCTAGAATACTCAGTAAACACCTACCAATATGAGCTTTGTTACAGCTCAACAACAGACAACAGTACTCGCTTCTACTCACTCCTGGGGTGTCTTCCTAGTGGCAAAAGTGCCACCAGAAATCCAACTTCCCCTAAGCTACCCTCAAGCCTTTCCCCGACCCCACTCTCATTCCAGTGACAGGTGCTGCCCTGTATACTCACTGAGGGCCACGTAGACGATGTTAAAGGCAAAGACATAAATTGTAAGGAGGGAGAGAGAAAGAATGAAGAGGTAGAAGTAGCGGTAGTTCCTCTTTCCAACACAATTGCCCACCCAGGGGCAGTGATGGTCGAAGCGCTCTGTGGAAGAAAGAGAGTTCAATGCCAAACTCTAAACAGAAGCAACCCTACCACCCACATAGTACCTAACCCAAAGAACTCAAGGAGCTGGGCATGGTGGTACACACCTTTAATCCCAGCACTCGTAGAGGCAGGTGTATCTCTAGGAGTTTGGGGCCAACCCAGTTTACATAGTGTGTTCTAGGCCAGCCAGAGTTACATAGATACCTGTCTCAAAAAAGAGCTATATACATACCTGTCTCAAAAGGGGGTGGGGGAGAATTAACTCCAGTTGACACATTCTTTACTTTATGAAAACGTTTTCATCACAAGGTTCATTCGACCTTGTGATGGCTCATCTTTGTTGTCAACTTGACAATATTGGAAATCAACTAAAACTCAAGCTACTTGACGAGCCTATGAGGAATTCTTAATCATATTGTTTGAGGCAGGAAGACCCACTCTAAATCTGGGCAACACCTTCTAATGGCAGCCTACCAAAAAGGACATGAAGAAGGAAGCTTTTGCTTTTTGCCTGTTTGCCCTCACTCTTGCTGGCAAGTTCATCTATCCTGTTGCTGAGGCATTCCTTCACTGTAACCAGTACATACTTCTTCAGATTCCAACATAGACTGAAGACCAGAAGTTCTCTAGGAATTCTCTGGGACTCTGGCACCAGATTGGGACTGCTGAGACTTCCAGAGGCATGGACTTAACAACTATTTATTGGATTCTTGGCCTTTTCATCAGGAGACAGACATTGTTGGACTAATCAGACCATAGCCTGTGTGTGTGTGTGTGTGTGTGTGTGTGTGTGTGTGTGTGTGTGTGTGTATTCATTCTATCAGTTATGTCTTCTTAGAGAATCCTGACTGAAGAGCTCTTCACAACTACACTGGATATCAGTTAAAAAATATTTTCTCACTTTACAGATCAAGAAACAAAAGCTTCAACAGTTCAACAGTCAGGTTATTCTGTCAGTTAAGGGCAGAGGCATTGCTTTTTTCAGTAAAAATCTTAGCAGGTGGATTTAGTAAATTCAGAAAATAAATTTGAAAATGAATAGTATGAGTTTTTAACCTGTATTTATTAAAAATATAAATCTACAATACACTATTCTTAAAACTGTATGGCATAGTTCAATGAAACAAAAAGAACATAGAAATAGACTCCAGAATATATAGGAATTTACCATCTAATAAACACACCATTATAAAAGGAAGTATGATTTCATGAATAATTGTGAGAGGATAGGCTAATTGGTAGAAAATGAGGTTACATTTTCCCCTTCTATTTGCCAAAATAAATTCCAGATGGATTAATCGTTACAGGTAAAAACAAATTTAGATCAAAAAATAGCTACACAGACCAGATATAGGACTTTCCAACCACATAAGTACTGCAACAAAACATAGAGGACAAAGAAACATAGATTTTACTCGGGAGGCAGAGGCAGGAGGATCTCTGTGAGTTTAAGGCCAGTCTGGTCTACAGAGCGAGCTCTAGGACATTGAAGACTAAACAGAGACACTCAGTGTCATAAAACCAAAACAAGTCTCTGCCTTTTAAAAAATGACTTTAGCCGGGCGGTGGTGGCGCACGCCTTTAATCCCAGCACTCGGGAGGCAGAGCCAGGCGGATCTCTGTGAGTTCGAGGCCAGCCTGGGCTACCAAGTGAGTTCCAGGAAAGGCGCAAAACTACACAGAGAAACCCTGTCTCGAAAAACCAAAAATAAATAAATAAATAAATAAATAAAATAAAAAATAAAAAATGACTTTCCATACATTAAAAATGCTAGAGCACCAGTGAGATGGCTCGGGGGCAAAAGGCACTCGCCCTGCAAGCCCAACAGCCCAAGTTAGCTCCCCAGAGCTCATGTGAAGGAAAGAGTGAATCACAATCCACGATGTTGTCCTCTGACCTCTACCCACATGGCACGCAAGCCCCACCCATATCCAACAAACACACACAAAACATTCTCTCTCTAAATAATAAAAGGAAAAACTAGAGAGAAGAAACATATATGCCTGATTTTGTGAGAAATCTTTCTAAATTGATAACAAAAAATATACTTCCTCAAGGAAAGTACCAAAGGCTACAGAAATTTATTAAGGGAGAAGTTCTCTTTTGTTTTTGTTTCTGTTTGTTTGTTTGTTTGTTTGTTTGTTTCAAGACAGGGTTTCTCTGTGTAGCCCTGGCTATCTTGGAACTCGCTTTGTAGACTCAAACATTTGCCTGTCTCTGCCTCCCAAGTGCTGGGACTAAAGGCATGCACCACCACCACCCAGCTTTGTTTTTTTATTTTGTAAGACATTATCTCACTATGTAGTCATAGGGTGGGGCCTTAATTCAATAGGACTTGTATCCTCCTATGAAGAGGATGAGACACTAGAAATGTGTGAACATATTAAAAAAAGGTGTGAGAATACAGCAAGGAAGAAGCCATCTGCAAGCCATAGAAAGAGGCCTTACCAGAAACTAACCCTTTTGTCACCTAGATCTTGGATTTCCCAGTCTCCAGAATCATGAAATATGTATATTCTGTTGATTAAACAATCAAGTCTATAGGATTTTGTTGTCATAACTCAAGCAAACATCCAAGTATATAGTCAGAAGTTCACTTGCTAGATCATACGCTAATGTCACGTTAAACTTTTGAGGACCTAGCCAAATGTCTTCCACATTGGATACACAATTTTATAGACCTATTAGACAAGGAAGGAGGTTCAATCTTCTCCGCATTCTTAAGCTTAATATAATTTTCTGAAACAGGGTCTTGCTATGTAGTTCAAGCTGGCCTTGAACACACAATCTTCCTGCCTTAACCTCTCAAGTGCTAGGATTACAAGTATAAACCAGCAAAGCTAACTGAGCTCAATAATTTTTATTTCAGCATTATAATAATAATAATAATAATAGCATCTAATTAGAGAAGACTGGCTAAATAAACTAGAATAAAACCTTATAATAGATTATGCCACTAAGATAATTTTAAAGATGTAGAAGAGCTTAGGATATAATTTTAAGAAACAAAAGCAAAGCCCGGCATCACCTTTAATCCCACCCTTGGGAGGCAGACAGGTGGATCTCTGTGAGTTTAGGACACCCTGGTCTACACAGTGAGTTCCAGGCCAGACAGGGATACACAGTGAGACCGTCTAAAACAAAATAAAAATGACGAAAGACAAGCTCAAGATTAGAAGCTCTTATCAGGAGCTACTGAGATGGCTCAGTGATTAAGAGCACTTGCTGCTCTTATAGAGGACCAGGGTTCAATTCCCACCCATGGTGGCTCAGTTACTTCAGTTCCAGGAGATCTAACATCCTCTTCTGACCTCTGCAGGTACCAGGCACACACACATGGTGTATAGGTAAGCATTCAGGCAGGCAAATATACATTAAAACTTAAATATTAAAAAAAAAAACCCTCTGATCAAGCTGGAGAGATGGCTCAGTCTGTAAAGTGCTTGCCACACGAGCATGTGGACCTGATCTTGGGTCCCTGGCACTCACATAAAACACTAGACATGAGCAGGAGAGAAGGCTCAGTGATTAACAGCACTTGCTCTCACAGAGGATCTGGGTTCATTTCCTATTACCCATATGGTGACTCACAACCATCTTTATTTAACTCTAGTCCTAAGGAAATCCAGTGCCTTCTTCTGAATTCCATGAGCTCCAAGCATGCATATGGTGCACATACATGCAGCAAAAAGCTCAAACACATAAAATATAATAAACAAATCTAAAACAAAACATTAGGCATGGTGGCACATGCTTGTAATCCTAGAGGCAGAGACAGGAGAACCCCTGGAGCTCCTTGGCAAGTGAGTTTAGCAGACTCTGTGATCTCCAAGTTCAATGAGAGACCCTGTCTCAAAAAAAAAATAAGTTGGGGAGGGATCAACAAGATGGTTCAAAGGACAAGTATTTGCCGTGTAAACAAATCAACCTCAGGTGAATCCATGGGACTGACTTAAAGGTGGAAGGAAAGAACCAAATTAAATTGTGCTCTGTGGCACATAAGCACAAATAAACATCACACACACACACACACACACACACACACACACACACAAAATTAAATTAAATTTAAATTTAAACTAAGGTGGGGAGAGCAATTGAGGAAGACATCCAATGTTGACCTTTAGCCTCCAATAGCACATGCACACATACACACACACACACGCACACACACACACACACACACACGAACATGTCTACACACATACACACTCAAAAATAAAATAAAATAAAATAAAATAAAATAAACCTCTTATATGTGGAGCAGCCAGAGAATTAGTGTAAAAAGTCCTCAGAAAACTAAAAATAAAACTATCATAATAGTCAGCTATACCACTGGGTATATACTTAAAAGAATCTAATATGTCCTCCACAGAGATGCTTGCACATCAGTGTTTACTGCTGTAGTACTCACAATAGCCAAGATAATGGAACCAGTCTAGAAGCCCATCAATTGATGAATAAATATGCTATACATATAACAATCAAATTCTATTCAGCTGTAAAGAAGAATGAAATTAAGTCATTTTCAGGAAGATGGATGGAACTAGAGATGGTTATGCTAAATAAAATAAGCCAGAGTCAGGTAAATGCTACAAGTTTTCTCTCATATGCAGAATCAAGATTTGTGTGTGTGTGTGTGTGTGTGTGTGTGTGTGTGTGTGTGTGTATGAGAAAGAGAGAGACAGAGACAGAGACAGAGAGAGAGAGAGAGAGAGAGAGAGAGAGAGAGAGAGAGAGAGAGAGAGAGGCAAGAAGGGAACTAATGAGGTGCTGTGGGATGGTCTGTATGTCAAATGTGTTGCTGATTGGTCAATAAATAAATCACTGATTGGTCAGTGGCCAGGCAGGAAGTATAGGCGGGACAAGGAGGAGAATAGAGCTGGGAAGTGGAAGGTTGAGTCAGAGAGACACCGCCAACCACCATGATGAGAAACAGCATGTAAAGATGCCGGTAAGCCACGAGCCACGTGGCAAGGTATAGATTAATAGAAATGGATTAATTTAAGCTGTAAGAACAGTTAGCAAGAAGCCTGCCACGGCCATACAGTTTGTAACCAATATAAGTCTCTGTGTTTACTTGGTCGGGTTTGAGCGGCTGTGGGACTGGCAGGTGAGAGAGATTTGTCCTGACTGTGGGCCAGGCAGGAAAACTTTAGCTACAGTGAGGAAACAAAGGAGTTGAACAGGAATTATTGGGGCAAATATGAGCTAGGTTTAATGATATATGTGGATGAAAACATCATAATGAAACCTATTATTTTGTACAATAACTAAAAAAAAAGATGGGAGATGTAACCTGTGGTCAAGTACTTGCCTAGCATGTGTAAGGACCTGGTTCAATCCCCAGTACCTCGAAAATCTAATTCAGAAATTAAAAATCTTTTATATTATGTAATGTCTTATTTTACAAACAAAGGGATTAGAACAAAAAGTAGCAAAAATAGAGTATGAATTTAAAATTAGGTTTTATTTATATTTTTATATCACCTATAGTTTCTAACACATGCATATTATTTTAACTGACTTTTAAACAAAGGGGTTGAGGGCTGAAGAGATGACTCAGGGGTTAAGAGCACCTTCTGCTCTTCCAAAGATCCCGAGTTCAATTCCCAGCACCTATAATAACATCTCACAACTATCTGGAACTCCAGTTCTAGGGGATCCAACACCCTCTTCTGGCCTATGGGAATACCAGGTACACAAGTGGTGCACAGAAATACATACAGGCAAAACACCCATTCAAGTTAAGATAACATAAAAATAAATTAAACAGGGTTGGAGGGATAGCTCTGTCACAGCATTCTTTGTGCAAGCATGAGGGTTAGACAAGGCCCAGACTCACATAAAAATATGAGACATGGTGGTACATACTTATAATCCCCACACTAGAGAGGCAGAGACAAGGGTATCCCTGGGGCTCACTGGTCAGCTAGGATAACCTAATTAATTTGGCAAGTCATAGAGCCCAGAGAGAGACCCTGTCTCTAAAAACAGGGAGGAATGACACCCAAAGTTGTCCTCTGGCTTACATATGCATGTACAACCACACACACATGAACACACACACAAACACCTCTAAAGGGGGTTAGTTTTTGAAGAACGGTGAGCTATGTACCAATCAAAAATAAGACTGTAAGAATAGTACATCTCCTTGCTAAAGGATTACAATATATATTTTTTCAAAAAGAAGAAATGTATAAAGAAAACTGTCATGCTCAAGTGGTTAGCATCATGCCTAGAATTATAGATAGAGCCTCATTTTAAGCAAACTTGCCATATAAAAACATTGAGAAAATGTAAATTTATACAGATCTATGTTTTACCATATTTTTAGTGCTGCTCTCAACTTGGTTATAGAAGCTGCCCCCACCCAGCCCTGCAGTGGAAGGAGTCAATGCAGACACTCAGACCTGATCAAAGCGCTGAGAATAAGTGACTGTTGGGCTCAGTCATAAATGAGACATCTATATTGACCCCACTAAAGCTCAGAGAACATCATGGAAGAAGGACAGGAAAGAGTACAAGAGCCGGAGGATTTGGAATGTTGTTTTCTGGACATGACAGGACCACTGTTCTCATGAACAAACAGCTTCTATGGTTACCTACACTTGACCAAGCCAGTTAATAATTCCAGCATGAATGAAGGAGGGGCTCATGAGGCTCCACCTTTAGCTGAGGAGCTGTCAGCAATTGATGGCTGCTGGGGATGGACGTTGTTTTTTCTTTAGGGGTGTGGTTGCCAGATAATAAATGACCCCATACCCACGCACATGCACGCAGCACTAATTGGACTCAGTGGGTTATAAAGAATAAAAAGAAGAGGGAATGAAGTTGCGACAGGCATGTGTTGGGGATTCTGGGGAAGGCCAAGACACTTTGTATGTATCATGGAATTGTCAAGAAAAATTTAAATACATTTTTTAAAAAGCATTCAGTTTTAATATTTATCTCTGATTATAGTAGGAGTGGACATATTTTCACATCAATTAGATAGTTAAATTCCCTGTTTTATGAACTGTTCATGTTTCTCAGAAAGCATCAGTGCTTTTCAAAAAATCAACTTGTAAGCTGGTGTAGTAGCATATGCCTTTAATCCTAGCACCTGAGAGGAAAAGACATGCAGATCTCTGTGAGTTCTAGGGCAGCCTGGTCTACATAGAAAGTTTTAGGGCAGCCAGAGCTACAGAGCGAGGCCCTGTATCAAAAAATCAACTTGTACAATTCTTTTATTTTTTTTTTTATGTGTATGGGTTTGCCTACATGCATGTCTGCAGCACATGCATGCCTAGTACCCACAGAAGCCAGAAGAGGGTGTCATATCCCCTGGAATTGAAGTTACAGATGCCATCATTTGAGTGCTAGGAATTGAACCCAGGTCCTCTGGAAGAGCAGCCAGGGCTATTAACCACTGAGCCATTTCCAATCCCTTATATGAGTTCTTTAGTTTTTCTTTAGTTTTTCCAAAACGGGGCTTCTCTATTTAGTCTTGGCTGTCCTGGAATTCTCTTTGTAGACCAGGCTTGCCTCGAACTTCCAGATACCCACATACCTCTGCCTCCTAAGCGCTGAGATTAAAGGCATGTGCCATCACACCTGGCTATATGAGTTCTGTATATTTAAGAATATTAATAAAGAGAGGAAATTCTTCATGAAACCTTCACATCACACTTTAAATATTGTTTGTAGTCCATTTAAAATTAGTCTTGATTTATAAACTCTAACCCACATATCAATTTGGACCATATAAAAGAATATACATCTCCCCAAACTTTGCCTGAAGAATTGGCTAGTAGGAAGGAAGCAAGATTCTCAGACATGGTACAGAGCGTACAGAATGTCAGAATTACATCAGTGATAACAGCAATGTGACCTATATACCTATCAATGAGCACCTTTATTATCTGTGTATTATCTTCTCCAGAGTTCAGCACAAAGTAGGAAGTATGTCTAAGACTCATATATGCAGTTGGCAACATAGACCTTGTATTCTGCACACCTACACACATACAGTAAGAGCAAAGACAGAAAAAAAGATGAAGGCTTGGACATCAGACCTGATCAAGGATCATCTCATGCCAATTACACAAACTTACACAAAGACACTTCACTATCATCATCTGTAAAATGGGGATGATACTGGTTTCTAGGGGTTGCTATGAGTCTTAATGAGAGAAAGGACAAGCACTCAGCCCAGGGACTAGTACATAGTGGGAATACAAAGACCATTTTTGCCCTAGGCCTTCCTCAATACTGCCCTCCAGTGGACAATGGTATTCCTCTCCTTTGTAAAGTGGGCCACACCTGACATGGATCCAGGAGAGAAAAATTGAGATTTCCCAAACAGGTATTGCTTCCCATTTATCAAAGAGATTTTTTAGACCAGATCTCCATAAGTAGGCTGAGCTGCTGTTGTGTAGGAGCTTCTTTCCTATCTATATCTACCTTGTTTCTCATCAGAATCTGCCTTCTCATTCCCATTGAATTTTCCCAAGAACTAATGGCCACTCACTGTGAGAGCCCTTGTTCAACTGAGTTTAGCCCTCATCCCCTTGGTTTACTCACCCACACAGTTGTCACAGATGCTACAGTGGGAGGCCCGGGGAGGTCGGAAGATCTTGCATGTATAACAGTATTTCAGTTTCACAATCTGGTTGTTTATCTGGAAATTCTTAATACGAGGAGGTGGTCGCTGGCCCTGTGGCACCGCACCATTGGTGGCTTCTGTAAGTCAGTAAAACAGCTTTCATTCACTGCTATCCTTTGTTTGAGTCCAAAGTTTCACCACCTCCAAAAGTTATGGAGGCCATGAAAGGTCAAGGCTCCTCTTTTCCAGGCAGCCCTACCAGACTAGAATTTCAACATCACACAGCATTCTCCACCTGTCTACTAAATGTCATACAATTTTTACAAGTGATGGACATGTAAAAAAGGTGTTTCTTCAAGGGTATTGGGTTGGGAGGGCAGGTTAATTACAAATGAAAAACATAAAAAGAAAAATGGCAAGAATCTGAAATGAAAGCATCTCACTTGACTAATAATCAGAGAAATGAAATGAAAATATAATCTAGCATGTTGGTCACATGCCGTTAATCCCAGCATTCAGGAGGCAGAAGCAAGCAGATCTCCATGAGTCCAAGGCCAACCTGATCTATATAACAAGTTCCAGGCCAGCCAGGGATACACAGTGAGACCCTATGTCAAAGAAAACTATTGAAACACAAAAATATGCCGGGCGGTGGTAGCACACGCCTTTAATCCCAGCACTGGGGGGGGGGGCACAGAACCAGGTGGATCTCTGTGAGTTTGAGACCAGCTCGGTCTCCAAAGCGAGTTCCAGGAAAGGCACAAAGCTACACAGAGAAACCCTGTCTCGAAATACAAATAAGACAAAAAATAGCCAGCCAGTGATGGTGCACACCTTTAATCCCAGCACTCTTGGGAGGCAGAGCCAGGTGGATCTCTGTGAGTTCGAGGCCAGCCTGGGCTACAGGACAGGCTAAAGCTACACAGAGAAAACCTGCCTCGAAACACACCCCCCAAAATACTATTTCTACCTATTACAATTAACAAATATTAAAAAGAAGATAAATACCTAGTATACCTAGAAAAGGTCAAACTTTTATCTTACCAGTGAACAACACATTCGCAGCTACCATAATTTTAAATGTATACACTCTGTAACCTAGTAATTCTACTAGCAAAATTCAAAGAGAACTACAAAGCATGGTTATGCAAGAGTATTTTAATAATGTCCTTTTTAATAGTGAAAACTACCAGCATGGCAGCACATGTCTGCCATCAAAGAACTTAGGAGGTATAAGCAGCAGGATTGAGGAAAGACTTGGGTACAGAGCACATTAGAGACCAGCCTGGGCTACATGAGACCCTGTCTCAAAAAAAAAATGTCTAGAGGGGAAGAACACATTCAAAGTACATTATATACTAATATGAAAGTGTCCTTGTGAAACCTAGTGCCATATAGAATTAATATATGCCAATTAAAATAATATTTCAAGGGCCTGGAGAGTTGGCTCCTCAGTTAAGAACATTTGCTCTTTTTGCAGAGGTCTCGGGTTTGGTTCCCAGCACCAAAATGGCAGCTCACAACTGCTTGAAACTCCTGTGCCAGGGACCTGATGTCCTCTTGTGCCTCTGTGGGTACTGTGTGCACGTGGTGCACTTACATACATGCAGGCAAAACATCCACACACATGAAATAAAATAAAAATATCTTCAAAAAATCGTTTCAAAACCAAAAAGGAGTAGAGGCTCGTGAGACAGCTCAGCAGGCTAAGGCATCTGCCGGAAGCCTACGGACCTGAATTTGGTTCCCAGTGAAGGACAGAACTGACTCCTGAAAGTTGTCTTCTGACCTACACACACGCACACACCATGATGCATGCAGTAGCCACCCCAAAATGAATAAATAAATGGAATAAAAACAATAAAAATATGTTAAAATAAATTTTCTTAAAAAGGGGTAAACTGGAGCTGGAAAGATGGCTTAGCAGTTAAAAGCACACTGACTGCTCTTCCAGAGGATCCAGGTTCAATTCCCAGCACCCACATGGTAGCTCACAACTGTCTGTAACTCTAAGATCTGACAACTTCACACAGACATACATGCAGGCAAAACACCAATGCACATAAAAATAAATAATTTTTTTTTTGGTTTTTTTGAGACAGGGTTTCTCCACATAGTTTTGGAGCCTGTCCTGAATCTCCCTCTGTAGACCAGGCTGGCCTCAAACTCACAGAGATCCACCTGGCTCTGCCTCCCAAGTGCTGGAATCACAGGCATGCACCACCGCTGCCTGGATAAAAGTAAATAATTTTTTTAAAGGGGGTAAACCAAAAGTAACTTGCTTATATTAAAACGGCTGTATTCATATTAAAGAAAAAAATGAAACAAGAATATACTAAAAATACTTCTATGGTAGGTTGTTTTAAATATCTGCTATTTCCCTTAACTGAACTCTTAAGGATCCCTTAATTACTAGGACAAAGGGTATGAGTCCTTAAAGCCACTCTGCTTATTGTCAAACTGCTTCCCAGACAGACCACATGAATTTGCATGCCTATCCATCCACAGCAGAGGAGAGCACTGGGCCCGGTGCACCTTTGCCACCAAGTATAGCTCGAAAAACAGAGTACTTTTCAATTCACTTTGATTTTAAAAATACCTGCCATATGGAACATTTTCCCTTTTTTGCCGAGTGGGGTAGGTGCTGTGAAATCAAACAATAACAGTGTGCTACAAGTCCCAAGAAGAGCAGGCTAGCTATTCCTAAGATGATGATGTAAGTGCCAGCATGCCGCTTTAATAGCTATTTCCATATGCTTTCCAGTAGGGTGGTGGGGGCACTGAGTTCGTGGCAGAATCCAGGGGAGACATGGGGGTAGAACATGGGGTACTTAAGAGCAAGAAAAGGGGGGTTATTGCGAGTACTGTTTTTCCTCTAGCTGGATTAATCTTTCATAGCTACTTTCTCATTCACATGTGGATTCTGCCTATGTCAGCAAGTCTTGCCTCTACTTTATGCTTGCTGTTTTCACTCTCACCTTACCCCATGTAGTTCTGGCTCAGATATGTGCAAACCAGTTTTTTCTTTAGCTCAGCTACAACTGCCTGGGTTTTTCCAAAAATAAATATACTATAAAAGCAGAGGAAAACAGTTCAAATAAACAAACACAAAAGCATGGCTTCCTTCAGAGTAACATCAAAGAACTAAAGGCTAGCCACAGACTGGCACTCTACTAACACAGAGATTCAGCATTCCAAGTTCTGGGTCACAGAGCGGGGGATACAGCTCAGTAGTAGAGTATGTGCCTAGCATGCCCAGGGGACTGGGTTCAACCCCCAGTACCCAGGGGCAAGGAGGTGATAAAACAAGTCCTGGGTGCCTTTTTTCTGTTCTTACCTTGTTTTTATGTGGACTCAAGCTACTGTCAACACAAAATGGAGAAACACAGCCACTGCTGCTGAGCTAGTGGGCTCCCACTTGCTCCTAGTACTTGTATCATTGACTTTTCACAGTGGGAACTCCCAGGATATCCCCTTTCTAGCCCTGGGATGTTCTATTTCAAATCATGAAGCCATCATGGCTCCTGGTGGTGCTACATTTCAGTCTCGGAGCTGCAGTCTGTAGATTCTGAGCCTGAAATTGCTTCCGGTGATCCTCTGAGTAGTTCCTGGTACCATGGTAGCCCCTTTTCACTTTGTGTGACCCCCTAAAGCTGGAATTCTTGGTCATGGATCCATGAATGAACTTCAGAAGATCTATGAAATTTTATCCAAAGTTGTATGTATATGCAAAAAAGAACATTTTATGGAAAGACAGTTTACAGCTTCCCTCAACAAGCAGATGTCTGATGGCCTCCTCCAAAAATGGAAAAGACACTCTCTTGGCAGCAATTCAGCCAGACCTTGGCAACAAATTCTTTCTTCAATGCAACCCAACATGCAGAAAAAGAAAGTACATGGCTTTACAGGCTTACTGTACCTGTCTTACTGAAGTCATGGGTCATCATTTAGGATCTCAGACAGAAAAAGCTGGATTAGTCTGAATCTGTAACTACTATGATGATTCCACTCTCCTACCCAACAGGACCACCCACTGTATAACAACTTGCAAGACTCACCTATTTCCATTTCTATGAAAGCTGCTTCATCTGGTAGTGCTCGAGGAATCACCCCAGGGTCACTGAAACTGGTCCTCAACAGTGTGGCCATAGAGAAAAGAAAGAGCATGGCAGCAAACACAGGGATGGCAGGAGACAGCTGAACAGCCAGGTAGCGACACCTGAAGAAAGGAAGCAATTTTACTTTAATGTAATATATATCCAGTCATTGCAACCATGTCAATCTGGTCTCCACAACTAGAACAGCAGATCTCCAGGGCAAAAGACTATGTTATTTACTTCCTCTGAATATTCCAAACACTTAAGATGTGATTCTAAACACAATGTAACCTCAACACATACTTAATAGATTGAGGTCACCTATGGCATATAAAAACAATCTCAAGGGAACTCCCTTATGCCTAAGATAACCCATGCCTCTTATAACTCATGCCTCTTACCAGGCCTCTAGGAACATTTTGTCTGCCTCAGAAAAGGTTGACACTGGCTAGGGACAGAGAAGCAAGAGCCTGGACTTGTAAGCACCATAGGGTACTTTTGCTCTGGGAATATACAGAGCTTTTCATATCCACTCATCTGGCATTAGGACTGAGTTTAATGAGGAGAAAAAATAGGATCAATCATGAAGCAGGCTCACAGTGGCACACAGAGGGTATCTCAGCATGCTTTAAGACCAGTGAAAAGCTTCCAGGCTGCTGATTGACTCTATAACATCCATTCCTTTTGTCTCCTCAAATAGCTCAGCTAGTGGGTGATGAATGATCATCAGCAATGGAATAAGAAAACTCCTTAACACCACTTCCCAACACCATGTACACTTCTGTCTTTCCTCATAATGCACCTTTTCCTCTCCATATCCCCAGTGAACTTATATTTCAGGTCCTAGAAACATCACCGTCATCATGGCAAATACAATTACCAATACCAGGCACTGTGCTAACTACTTTAAACACCTGATTTCATCCAATTCTCACACCAAAGCTACAAGGTAGTACCCCTTATATTTATTGATAGATGAAGAATTTGAGACTTAAAGAAGTCTCATCTCCTCCTAAAGGCCTAAGGGAAGCAGCATTCCCCCTTTCCTCCTGCCAATAGCTTCACTGTGAAAGCCTTGCATTATTTCCTAGCTCTTTATCAGTATGTTGATTTTACCTCCCTCAACTTGACTTCTTAAGAGCAACAAACTGGTCTCACAGGACCTTGGGGTTCAAATTCTGGTTCTATCAACTCCCAAGTAGGTGATCGCTGATATCAGTTTCCTCATCCGTAAAATGGAGACAGTAGTAGTATTTTTTTGGGGGGGGGCACTATGTAGACCAAATGCACAACTATAAAAAGTGCTTAGAAGGATACTTGATGCATAATGGACACTAAATAAATGATCTCTACTAACATTAACATCTGATTGTACATTTGCTAGATATTCATTCAAGTAAGGGAACAAAGAAGCTATCAATAAATACTTGTTGCTCTGAACTGACTATCAAACCGAATGAATGAGAGTATGTGATGTGCATTATTACTGACCTATTTTTATCCATCTCCTCCCAAGGCATATTTCTCCTTGAAAATAGAGATCATCACTGGAGGCAGACTATAAGTGGATGAGCAAGGAGCAGAGGGAGAGCAGAGAAAGTAAGCGGAGAAAAAAGCTTACTTCATCAGCATGGAGAGTAAGCAAGCTGCAGTCAATTCAGGGCAAATGTTTAACTCCAGGCTGTAGGTTTACTCTAGTCACAGAACAACCCCCATGAGATACTCCCCTGTCTCCCCTCCACAATATAAGTGCACAGAGTGTGTGTGTGGGGTGTGTGTGTGAATGCACTGTTATATTAGGCTAAATAGTATTTATAATGGAAGTGAGCATATGTATTGAACTTGCAAAATGATTTCAGTGGCCTTTTGCTCATTTAAAAATATAATTTGTGGTCTTAGTTTTCTTTTAAACAATTTACTTCCTTCTTCTAAAAGTCAAAAGGGCATAGGGGGAGCATGTCAAGAACTGAAGGACCTGGCAAATGGGTTCAGGGTAACTAAGGGTCATGCATATTACAAGTTTGTAGACTAGTTTCTTTTCCATTACTCCTTTTGCAGGAACACATAATCAAAAAGTAAATTCAGAAACAAAAGTCACCACCACTTGTCAGAGACCCAAAGGACACAGGAGAATCATGAATCTATGTTTCATGAGCAAGTCAAGTGCAATCACTACACCAACAGAAAGCAGCTATCTTCCTAGTCATCGATCATCTGTAAGATTGCTCTTCAAAACAAAGAAGCAATGTCTCCAGGACTAACTGCCTTGAGTATAGTCTCCAATCAACACGGAAGAGGGAAATCTCATGGGGCACCACCCATAAACAAAGAACTACAGGCAGCTAAGGAATGCTAAGAGCAGGAGAAATAGCCCCCCATCCCAGGGAAGAGTCCTCCAATTGCCCAGGGTAGAGTTATCTAACACTAAACAGACTGAGCAAGTTGTGTGTGTGTGTGTGTGTGTGTGTGTGTGTGTGTGTGTGTGTGTGTGTGTGTGTAGCAATTAAATAAAAAGAGGCCATAATCTCTAGAGGGAGCAAGGGGGGCTCAGGGGAGGGGTTGGAAATAAGAAATGGAAGGGGAATGATGTGATTATATTTTTTTAAAGCTTTCAAACAGCAGAACTATTTGATTATCTACCAAAAAGGAGGTTGTTCCTTTTTTAAGATTTATTTATTTGTATTTCATGTGTATATGTATTTTGTATACATGTAGGTATATGCACGTAGTGCATGCCTGGTGCCCTTGGAGGTCAGAAGAGGGTGTTGGATCCCTCAAACCGGAGTTATAGATGGTTGTGAGCCACTATATGGGTGCTGGGAAGCAAACCTAGTTCCTCTTCAAGAGCAGCAACTGATTTTCATCACTGAGCCATCTCACCAACCCCAATTCTTTTTATTTAAGAGAAAAGACATGGAGCTAGTAAGACAACCACCAAAGGAAAAAATCAAGTCAATGCTGGCCTCTGCAAAGAAGGACCAAAGCTTAACTAAGTCCAATTCCAACACCTGCTGTAGACTAGACAAAAGACAACTTCGATTTGAATTGTACTACACCATCAAGGATAAAGGTCTCTGTAGTCTCCATACAGACTATCTTCTGCACCTGCTAAAACAATCCACTCTGTATGTCAACAAGCATACAACAGGCTCATTGTATTATTCTCTTCCCAGAGATGAGGCTAGTGGCAGCCAGTTGTCCCTAGTAAATGGGCGTGGTTAGAAAGGCAGATGGGAGACCAGCAGGCCTTTCTACTCCAAGTAAGAGGAAATGTCAAAACTAAGACTATTGCGAACTACAACCTATGGTGTCTCTCTTCTAAATAAACATGTTTAAATAAAAAACAGCATCCTAAGCAAGGATTGGTGGTGTATGCCTGTAGTCCCAGCTACTCAAGAGGCTGAATCAGGAGGACTACTTGTGTTCATGAGTTCAAGACCACCTTAGGCAACACAGAGAAACATATGTCTAAAAAAACTCCCTGAGTGTGGAAAGGTTGGGAATATATTTGTCAAAGGTCACATAATTTCAGTAAGGAAGAATAGATTCAAGAGATCCACCACACATAACAGTGACTATAGCTAATAATAATACTTGAAAATGGTTCAAATTAGATTTTAAATGTTCTCTCCACAAGAAAAGATAAGTACATGAAATGCTACATATGTTAATGAGCTTCATTTTAACCAATCTACAACATATACATGCATCAAAATGTGTTGTTCTCTATCAATATAGTTTGTATTTGCCACTTCACAAACATTTGAACCTTATTTTAGTTCCATGACTGCACTAAGCTGGAAGTCTATCTTTGACAGGAATAAGCTCCTTAAAAATTTAGTAGTAATTCCCCAAAGTCAAGGTATTAGTCAAACTTCACTAATTTGTCTTAGAGAAATACTTGACCTGTCATCTACAAACTAATCGCTTTTCAAACTCCCTTCTACTTTCCGTCTATATCATTTATTGGAATAATGATATCCACACTCTCATGGAAACAGAAGTCTCTTTTTTCTTCCAAGTACCAGGAGGCCGTCCTCCTTCCAGGGGTTAGAAGTTCCCTTTCTTACTTTATAAATAAGCCACGTGCCCACTAAAGCATTCATTTCTGATACCTGAAAGGACATTATCATTTTAAAATATCCTCTCCCTACTCCTTGACTGACCTCAGGCTTCCATAGCTGGGCTAGAATACTGGATTTCCATATGTTCCCATGAGCCACATGCTGGTACTGACCAGCAGTATCCAGCAGTGCCAGGCTAGGCTAGTGCATCATGCCCCATGCCCCACCCCCAGCACGCTAGTTCATTGGAGGAATGTTAGTAATGGCACAGACTTCAATTCACTTGAAAAAATTCTCAAAATAGATTCATGAGTGGAGCTGGTAAGAGACCAAATAGATTCTATGTTAGGGCTCTGCCTCACAGACTGCAATCTTGGATTGTTCTATATAACACTCTGCCTCTAAGTCCCTAATAGCTTTCTTCCTACATTTTTAATGCTTTGTTTGTTCTTTTATCAGTGCAATCAATAAGCCAACATGTATTTATTGGTCTAACAACTGAAGAACAAGAAAAATAGGAGCTAATTTTGTTGGGGAAAACATAACTAACATATGAAACAGCTAAAGCATAAGATGAGACCAATAATCAAGTGTTAGAATGGTGATTCAGACTCTCTGGACTGTAAGTGGTCAGGAAAGAGCTCTCTTGGGGAGCTGGTGGCTGTTGAAACTGTTCCAATAGCAGCTGTTAAGGATGGCTTTAAGGAAGAGCTGTGCTTTTAACAGCAAGAAAGGCCTAAGGAGCTGAGCCCAATGATGCCCTTTTATCCAACATGATAGAAATAACACTTCGCTTTAATTCCTCCCAGATATAGGTGGTTAGTTGTCTCCTTATTCACTACTTAGGGCATACATTGAACGTTTCTGTTTCCACAAAATTCATGCTGAAATCCCAACCCCCGATTCAATAGCATCTGCAGTCGGGGTGAAACCCTTGGTAAATGATTATGTCACCTAAGTTTACATCTTCACAAATCAGATTAATGACTCATAATAATAAGAGCCCCCTTGCCTTTCTATGATATGAGAAGACTGCAAGAAGGCAACCACATCTAAGC